AAAAAAAAAAAAAAAAAAAAAAACATACTGCTTATCTACTCCCGTAATGGAGTTTTTTGATCTCAGGTTCCATTGACAAAGCATCCCAAAAGGCTCTTCAGAAAAGGCAGAAGATTCATGTTACAAAAGAAGTAAAATGTACTGAAAAGCACATCTGCTTAAGTGTCTTGTTTTTCTGTCACAAAAAAACAAAAAACAAAAAAAAAAAAATGATTTTTGCTGCATATACTTTCAGACTTGGAAATTTAGAAAGTCTTATGCTCTATAGATTGTAAATTATTTCATAAATTTGGTTAATTTGATTATAGCGTACAGCAAATAAAGAAACATGAGGAAAAAAAAGAATGTTTAATACAGAAAAGTATAGTTATATATTCTCGGTTTTCCATTAGTTACTATATCAATGCAGCATGGAGGAGCTCAGACTGTGGTTCTGCTGGTATGTAGTGGAAGTCCAGGTTGCTTTAATGGTTGGTTTCAGGTCATCTGCGTTGTTGGGACTGGTGTGTCTCATCAGCCTGCTGACCTTAAGTCCATAGAGCAGGGGTGTCCAAAGTCGGTCCTTGAGGACCGGCGTCCTGCATGTTTTAGTTCTCTCCCTGGTTTAACACACCTGCATCAAATGATGGCTCATTAGAGGCCTATTCAGAACACAGACTTGGTGAGGAAGTTGTTACTATCACTAGGGAGAGAACTAAAACATGCAGGATGCCGGCCCTCCAGGACCGACTTTGGACACTCCTGCCATAGAGGATCCATGGGTTTGAGGTCAGCCCAGTTTGCAGGCCACTCGAGCACAGTAACACAATAAACCAGCATTTGAACCTTTGGCAGTGTGTGGAGACACCATATCCTGCTGGAAGAGGAAATCGGCATCATTATAAACCTGTCAGAAGAGGGGAAGTGCTTTAAAACGTCCCAATTCTGTCAAACTTAATGTCTTGAACTTAAGTTTTTTTTTCTTTTTTAAACCCAGTGGACCAAGACAAGCAGGTGACATGGCACCCAAATTGTCACTGAAACTTCACAATGATTCTCAAGCAGCTCAGACTCTTTGACTTACAAAATACAAAATTTATTTTCATTTTAAGAGAACTTTGGGACACTAATCAACAGTCCAATCCTTGTCCTACTAGTCCCACATAAGACATTTCTGACATCTCTACTTCTGGCAGCTGCAGCTCATATCCTGTGGGGCTCCTTGTGAATCTCCCTAAGCATTTGAATGGTCTTTGCTCGTGCATCATTCTCTACCACAGTTTTTCCTTTTGCCAAACTTTCCTTTGATATGTTGCATGCATCACTCTGTAGCCAGCTGCTTTAGCAATGAGGTTACCGTCCTTGGGGAGTGTCAGTGACTGTGCTGGAAAACCATCAAATCAGCAGTTCTTCCCATTATGATGTGGATCATAACCTTTCTGTATTAAAAAGCCTTGTTTTTATTAATTTAAGAGTCAAAATGCTGGGTTTTCATGAGCTGTAAGCCATTTAGATGTTTTCTAAATGAAGACATGACGCCTAAAATATACACTGCAAAAACACATTTTATGAAGTACTTTTGATTTAGTTTCAGATCATCTTAGATTTGCCTGATTTCAAGTGTGCTATCTTTTAACTAAATAATTCCTTAATTAGCCCAGGTTGATAAAAAAAAAAAAAAAAAAAAAAAAAAAAAAAAATTTTTTGCGGGAAGACTTTTTCATTTATAAAAAAATTTTTTCAATTTTTTAAAGTGAAAAAATC